ATGTTGTAAGTTTGATTTCTTTATAATTTGCATTAATATTTTGACATAATTTTATTTTTCTTGGAAATTCATATGAGTGATTTGGTATTTGTTTCATTTGTGTGCCCATGTTATAAGATTTGTGTTATTTGTGTGTTAATGTTTATTGCAGGTCGAAATAAATCATAAACCATTATGACAAGCCGTATTATTTCTGGTGACCCGTGAAACAATAATGGTTTATGATTTATTTCGACCTGCAATAAACATTAACACATAAATAACACAAATCTTATAACATGGGCACAACAAATGAAACAAATACCAAATCAATCATATGAATTTCCAAGAAAAATAAAATTATGTCAAAATAATGCAAATTATAAAGAAATCAAACTTACAACATAGCCTCATCTGGTGAGCGTGAAGTGTTATCCCTGTTTTCCACTTAGAACAGAAGATCTCTTTTTTGGGAATATACTTATTTGCTACTAAAGATGCTCGTAAACAATTTTAGCATCCCAAAACAACAAGAAAATAAAACTGCAACTTATAATACAACTTCAAAAACATAATATGAATCTTTGTTTATTACTCAAAATTCCCATGCGTTACCTCTATTTCCCATCATGCTCAGCACAAAAAAACAGAAATTGGACATGCGTGATAAAATAACAAAAAAGGAATAAATCATCATTAGTTAATACAAACTAATGATACAATTTATATTTATATATATATATGTATATATATAGATAGATAGATATATAGATAGATAGATATAGATATAGATCTATATATTTATAAATATATATAATATTAATATATATCAATATAATATACATATGTATAACATAATTATATATGACTTATAATATATATATATATATATATATATACATACATATATCCCATTCAGCCCTGAAAATTTTTTTACTTTAGATTTTTATGATATTTTAGCAACGTATTTGTCATGGCCTAAAAAGGCTACAAACATATTTTTAGATGTGTATCATAAGTAGTTCCCGAGATATTGACCTTTAAATTTTGGCCCAAATTTGTTCCGTCGGGGCTCTAGCATGTCCGCAAAGTAGAATTTTAGACAAAAAACTGACGTTGCAATGAAATAACTGTGTAAATTGACAATATATTTATTATCCCTCTTAGAAAAAATACAAATCTGATAATTCCAGGTACATTCCTTGTTATACATTTGGAATATAAGAAAATAAGAATATATTTCTTTTCCTTAAGATTAAGTCTCACATCAAAAATCAATGCTGAGGTATAATTTTTATTACTCACAAAAACTTTCACTAACGAAAAATCACAAATTCAACTTCAGTGCAAGACATTTTTCATTAAAACAAATATTTAACATTCATTAAATTGGTTGCAGTGCATCCTAGTAGAAATGTGGGAATATTTATCAACTCTTCAAATCTTTAATGAAAAGAAACTATTTTTTTCATACTTCTTCATTAACAGAAACATTCTAATTTATAAACTTAATTGTCAAATATTTCATGGCAAATGGAAAAGAGAATAACAGTTTCTTTCATATGAAAGACAAAGAAAAATTTTGCAACTTTTGCAAGAAAACTTAGTCCTCTCATTGCACCCTGGATATCGACATCTCATTCTAGACGCATAAGGAGGTAATGCATCAGGCATATGGCATGCACTGTTAGTACGCTTTGCAGCAGTGGGGAGGGGCCTTGTTCTTTTTCCAGAAATGTCAGCACGCCCCTCTGATATCTCAGACTCACTGTTGTCATCATTTAGCACATCTTCAGAAATCAATGAATAAGCTATTTCTAATTTAAAATCCATACTGTCCATGGCTACAGAATTGTTTTTTTCACAATCTTTTCTGTACTCTAACCATGCATTTGCACAAGAGAGGTCCAAAAGATGCAACATTGCCCGAACAGTGAATTTTGCAGAACGTGTTGCACTTCTGTAATAGCTAATGACCTGGTCAATAATATCAACGCCTCCCATCTTTGAGTTGTATAGTTCAACTACCCTAGGACGGTGCACCTCTAAGTGGCGTTTTTCTTTTTTACACCACCTCTGACAAGTAGATACTGGCTGAATAATATGTTCATTAGATGCTAGGATGATAGGTTTTTTGTCAAACCATACTGTTATACAAAAAGCAGAATCATCTCTCACTGCACAGTCAGAGGAACCTCTGCCAGATCTCTTTAACTGATTCTCAGTCTTCAGGCGACACTGTCTTGGCACGAGGTTCTTCTTCATTGTCCCTGTAGCTCCCATTCCTAGTGACGAGAGAATTTCTAAGAGCTTAGATGTAGTAAAGAACCTATCAAAGAAGAAACTAGTCCCTCTATTGACTGACTTTACAAATCTTAGGACTGCAGCTTCTCCTATCTTAAGGATATCCCACTCTGGGAGATGAAGTCCAGTTCTTTGCACACTCAAAAGTAAGTCTTCCTTACCCTGGAAGAACTCAAAATCTAGGACTTGGCCATCACTGCTAGCCAAAACAAAGATCTTTAGTCCATGTGGGTTTGGTTTCCGAGGTGTAAATTGCTTAAGGTTTGTTCTGCCTGTAAACGGAATGATCATTTCATCAACTGAGACATTCTGAGGTCTGTCTAACTCCAAACAGCGTGAACGAACACAATCTATGAGTGGTCTTATCTTATGAAATTTGTCTGATTTCCTCTGTGCTGCATTCAACAGACTCTCATCAAAGACTTTCAGAGAAGCTCTGATTACTGAAAACATGTCACGACTCATGGCATCAGCTATACAAGAAATCCTTGTCTTCTTTTGCCAGTACATTTTAATTCTAGGGAATCTTAATACTGACATAAGGAAGTTTATTCCTATTAACTTTTTCATTTGAACTACTGTTAGAGATAATGGCTTTCCTTGCTTGGACATGTATTTTTTCTGTGTTTCTAGAGTCAAGGCATCTAAAATTTCAGCTGAGAGGTAAGCCATGAAATAATCTACAGGGGAGAGAACTGTGGATTGAGAATTAGTTCCCTGAGAATGATTATCAACATCTACAATAAATCTGTGATTGAAGTTTATATTTTTCCTGAAAAAATAACATTCATTAGTATTGAGATTTCTCCTGGGTCCAGTCTGTGCAGCTGTAGTGCTTCTTGTAACTTCAGTGCTACTTGTAACTTCGGGGGGCCTTCTAGCATTTCCGTTGCTCTCTTCATCAGACTCAGATGCTGTACTCTCAGTGTTGGCACACAGCTCGGGAAAGAGTTCTCTCCGCCGGACTGGGGATGAAGGCCAGTCATCATCATCAGATATGCTGCTCAAATCAGAATTGCTAAATTCTGCCAGCAGTCGCTGGTATTCTTCTGAAATAAAAAGAAATTGTTAGGCAAATAAAAAAAAGTATTTTCTTAAGTTCTATGTCATGTAACTCCATAAGCAATATCAATATTTTATCCTGTATGATTTCATAATAATTACGTAAATTTATATTCAACCATAAACATATAAAATACAGTTTCCATTAACATTGTCAAAAACAGCATGATAACCCGAACCCAAACTCAAACAAAAACAGAAACTCAAAAGTAACAAATAAAAAACAATAAAGACAAACACAAAAGGAAACTGAAAGAAACAAAAAACAGATAAAAAACATGCTAGTGATGAATTACCTTTTGAAGTTTTCAGTTTTTCTTTGTATGTAGATGACTGCTCTCTATGCTCTTTCTTTTTCTTAAGTTTCTGTTAAATATTTTAATATGATGGTGAATTCTCATGGTGAGGAAAATATTAATGAATTTTTCTTCTACTCTGTAAGGTCTCACTAGACCCACATTTGTCAACAAGGCATGAAGAAGCAGGAGCGAGGGTTGGGGGTGCTCAATGAAACAGGTGGTGAGCTGGCAGTGCCACGTAGTGGCCTTTATTTTTCAATGGTTACACACAAATATATTATTTATGGAAAATAAGTACTTCTCTATTCTAGTTTTTAATGACATATAGATTATTCAATATTATTCTAGAGCACATATAGAAAACTTACTATTTATTTATCAAAAAAAATAGATATTTTTTAATTCTGAGATAATAACAAAGGAACTGAGGGTAAACACAGAAAACGTGGTGTTCTGAGCATCAAAGGGGTAACTAACATATTTAACATACTCCCCACCATAGAAGCCCCCCCAATCCCTTGCCCGTTGTTGTCGTGGGGGGGCTTAGGAGGCGGAGACTGGGACCCAATGATGGGGAACTCCCCAACCTTGGGACTCAGCCCTCGACTCAACTAATTATGCATGGTCTTTTTTTTCCCTTCCCACTTTTGTTTCTGTCCCTTCACCAAACCCTTCTGCTATCCACCTCCTAAGGTGTGAGAGCCGTGCTGAAAGGATGAAAGGCTGACTTTGTGCCAGTCCTGAACGGCCTGAGGGAGCCATGGGCACGGTATTCCCCTGATTTAGTTATCTAGCCCTTACCCCTCAAGGGGACCCTGAGGGGTGGACTGTTTTTATCCCCAACATAATCCAGGCTTCCCATGGCCAGTAATGAAAATATATCTCCACTATTAGGGGCAATGAGGCTTGCCCCTTTATCAAATAGCCCCAACGAAGTAAAGCCACCTGATTCCCCGACCCCAGGCTCTCCTTTGACCACGGCTCCGAACACTGCAATAACTACCCCTTCACCAATGCCTACTAGTACAGTAGCCAATAATCAACCCTCAAGGAACATTTCCACTCTCCCAGCATGCCCAACTTCAACACCTCTACCCCCACAACCTCCAACATCAACCACCCCATCCTCCCTTATTAATACCTTACAGCCTTATAGCCCACCTCTCCATAACACCACCTCCATCAACACTACTCCATCTTCGTCACGCCCTCGCCCTTCTACCACCCCTATCTCTAAAACAATCTTGAATACTCTCTTCAGTGCAGCCAAATGGGACCGATTTTTCGTGATCCCTCCCACAGCTCCCTACTCTGACAACACCCTTCTCTTCCAACAATGCCTCCAAAAACAAGTAGGTAAAGTCTCTTTCCGTAGCCGACCCGACCGCTCCCGTCTTGTAACAGTAACATCCGAAAACCAAGCCATAGCACTAACAAAACTAACTGACCAATATGGTAACCCCATCCTAGCAGAACCCCATCCAACCCTCAATACTTGCACCGGAACAGTCTCAATCTCACCAGCAAATTGCCCAATCTATGACAAAGATTGGTCAGATTGTGGAGAAGATCTACTTGCCTGTCTCACAGACTACGATGCAACATCAGTACAATGCTACTCAATCCCCCCCAGAGGTCATCGAAAGAAACCCACTAACATAGCCAAAATTACCTTCCGTAGACATGACCTTCCCTTTAACGTCTACATAGGAGGAGAATCCCTCCCTGTTCGTCCATACCAACCTCCTCCACGTCAGTGCCAAAATTGTTGGCGTCTAGGACACCCAGCCAAACACTGCCGTTCCACAGCCAGATGCCCATTATGTGCCCAACCTGGCCATACCCGATCTAACTGCTCTGCACAATCACGCACATGTGCCAACTGTGGCGGCCCCCATAATGTATTTTATAGGGGCTGTCCCACCTACAAATTTGAATCTGAGGTAGCAACTCTCAAATTCAAACTTGGACTCACACTGCGTGAAGCCAGACAGGAAGCACGTCGACGTGGATTCTCTCTTACTCCTTACTCCAGTAATACTGCTCATTCTAACACTTCTCCTAAACCCACCCCTCCTACATCTAACCCCCCCACTTCTACCTCCTACCTTCCCCAGTCTAACTCTTTTGCCATCCTAAATCCAGAAACTCCAATCTCTAATACAGATACTCCAATTACCACTACAACCCCAACACCTTCCCCTCTCCCTCCTCGCACTCCCCGTAACAGACAGAACAAACGTTCCACCCCCTCTTCCCCTACCACACAATCACCTCCACCATCCTTTGCCCCTACTCTTGAAACACCAGTCCTCTCTTCCCCCCCTCACAAGAAATCCTTTATCCCCCACAACTCCCCAACCAACTCCTCAGAAGAAACTATTGAAAATATTCAAGATTACTTAATGCAAACTGACACTCAACCTACAACCCCTGCTCCTTCCACACTCCAAGTAACTGCTGATATCCATCCCCCTCCTAACGATATCCCCCCTACACCCTATCCTCCTACCCCTCCCAACACAGCCCATCCCCCCCGACCCCGACCCCAACCCAGCCCACATTAACCCTCCCACCATCCCCTCTATCCCTTCCACTCCCTCCTGGATACACACGTGAATCCCTTATGTCACAAGTATCCCCTTCCTCAGACCCTCCATCTCCTAATACCCCTCCTGATAGAACACCAACTCCCACATCTCTCCCATCTCAAACCTCTCAGTCCTTATCCCACCCTCTAGCTGATTCCCCCTCAAAGTCTCCAACACGTACTGCAATCTATATCACTAAATCAACGAAAGTATAACTATCCTTCATTGGAATATTCGCGGTTTCCGCTCCCACAGACCTGACCTTCGTCATATCCTTTCCTCTTATAACCCATCTATTGTATGCCTTCAAGAAACCTTTCTTACACATCCTCCAATACCAATCCCCAATTATCATTTTGTCTCTTCCCCACATTCCCTTTATGTCTCGTCTATACTTATCAATCAGAAAACACCTTATGTCACACCACCCTTTCAAACCAATGTCCCTTGTACAGTTATTCGTATCTTCCTTCATCGTTGGATCACAGTGATTTCAGTCTACTTCTCCCCTTCCCACCCCATTGACTTTGTTGCTTTTGAAAATCTAATTTCCCAACTTCAACCACCTTTCCTCATAGTAGCCGCCACACTCTTTGGGGTGATTCTATTACCAACTCCCGAGGCCGATCTCTAGAGCGCTTCCTCTCCACAGCTGACCTTACTATTCTAAATTCAGATCGCCCCACACACTTTGATACACGCACGCAATCTTTTTCATGCATTGACCTCTCTCTATGCTCCCCTTCTCTTCATATAGATTTCCACTGGTCAGTCTTAGACCACTTTCCCTATTAGTAGGCATGAATGCATAGAGTAAACAAAGACGGTGATTCAGGTGACGTGTTAAAGTTTGCCCATGGTGTTTTCCTGATCCCTTGGGTCATAAATAAGTGATCTGGAAGGGGGGCAGAAAAAAATGTCCCTTAGGGTCCCAAGGGGGGGGGGGGCAGGGGTTTCGGGGTATACGAAAATACATCTCTTACATATCGCATTTATTTCTCCTAGCAGGTAACATTAATTCGTGAATGATATACCGTTTCTTATGTTCTATTGCATGACGAATCCGAATATACCATTATTTTGTCGATTAAGTTTAGCCAAAAAACAGTATAAGTCATTTATGCAAGAAAATGGTCGGTAATAAATATGATCATTGGTATAATCCTTCCAGAAACATGTATATAGACTTGAATACTGGAAATGTTTTCTAAATAAAAGTTATGCACCATTGAATTACCTATAAAATGATACCAAAACGAAAGTTCTATGTTGATAAATAAGAAAATAAAAGTGAATTATGTATGGGTAACATTTCATGACCTCACTCACAGATAGTCCTGAGACCCATTAGTTAGGGTTAACTTTTTTGTTTTGGCATAGTATATGTATAACTTATCACACAACATAAATTTTTCTGGAACATTGCCGTGATTTATCTTTTTAGGTACAGATATACAAAGGTACATACGTGAGAAAGTAAAATGCATATGAAAAATACAGGCCATATTTTTTATACACTTATTTAACATTCACAATTTAAGTTTCAGAATAATGTGCAGTTCATGTAAATACTGTGTCTTAATCCATCATTAGCTCAAAGGTATAATAAGCGTACCGTTTCTAGACATGCATAATGTGTTTTGTTTACGTAATCTCTATATACAGTTTTCATCTAGTAAATAGTATATGAATTTTATATTTCTCCTAATGCATCACTTTCACGTATTACATGATTGTACTACCCTACATAAAACAAAGCTGTCAATTTTACATATAACTAATGAAAATGATAATCACTTATCAATTTAAATGAAAAAGACTGCTTATTAAAATTAAATTATAATTTTATGTCATGAAAAATGCCTCGAATCACAGATTGAAATACATGAGTAAAGTTATCTCATTATTTTGTGTAAAAATAAAAGTATCCTTCTATTTACAAACTGCTGCACAGATATTTACATAGGGCTGTGCAGGGTAGGCCCTTCTTAAAGCAACTGCAGGCTCGGCTACATGGTCTCTTACAGCCACATTTTACTAGTTCCTGGCAGACTGATGCAACCTGTGGGACAGACATCCACCGAGGAAGTAACTTCCCATCAGTTTCCTTCCATCCATACAAGCAAGGGTCTGGTTCACGAACTTCAACAATCCCATAAAATTAACAGAATCCATAAACAAATCTGAATTTCAAAAGTATATAATTGAAGACTCCTTAAGAGTACTAGGAACTGGGAAAGCTATTAGATTTGAGATCAAAGATATAAACAAATTAAGACCTCTAAATCAAATTCAAAATCTGGGAGAATGGAAAATTTTTTGTAAACAACCAGCCTCCAGTAAGAACATAGGTTGTTCTTACGGAACCATCTTCCCAGTGGAGAATGACCTAAGCCCTGAGAAAATAAAAGAAAAAATAAGAACAATCAGTGGAAAAAACTCTGAAATTATAGAGATAATAAGAATTAAAAGAATAAACAAAGAGAAAGATAATGAAAACAAATGGACAGAAACTAAGTCACTGAGAATAACTTTTAAAGGTCCTCTACCAGAAAAAGTTGCAATAGGGCATACCTCATACACTGTGAATCAGTATACTTTCCCTATTCCAAAGTGTTACAATTGTCTCAGATATGGCCATGGGATAATGACTTGCAAAAATAAAAAACGTTGTAGTAAATGTAGCCAATTTGACCATAGTTACAAGGATTGTACAAATATTGAATTTTGCTTCTATTGCCAGGAAAACCATACTCCAAACACAAACATGTGCAAAATACACAGAGAGGCACAAAAAATAAACATCAAAACATAACACCAAATAACTTAGAAATAAAAAGACAGTTTCAAGAACTAAAACCAATACAAATGGAAATTGTAAATGAAAACATTACATCCACACCAGTAATTAAACAGACCACAAATAATATAAACAAACAACAAGTTACAAAGAAACAAATCCACAAACAAAAGAACAGACTACACCAATAACATATGCGCAAACATTAAACCAATCTCAGAGTCTAACTCTGGAACAAAGAACTCCCCAAAGAACAAAGACACAAAACACAAATAACAAACAAAATGACACAACAAACACACCAGAAAAAACAAAACAAACAAGTAAAGAATACTCAAGGGAAAAACAAAACAACCCAAACCAATCACTCACTAAACCCTCATTCCAAAATGATTCTCCTGTAGCATGGACATTGCCAACCCCAATTAAAGAAATGAAAACACAAAATGAAAACCAAACAAAAACAAAAGATTTCTCATGGATAGAAACAATAAAAGAAATGGCCAACATAATTACAAATGTACTAACTAATATGAATTCAGAAAAATCAATGATAGAAATAATCACAGATGCCATTAAAGAAATAATGTCAATAGTTAAAAACTTGATCAAACACTTTAATGAATAAAATAATCTTGTGGAATATAAGATCAATTCAGAATAAAAAGACAGAATTAAATTACTTGTTAAACAAAGAACAACCGGATATAATAGGAATTTGTGAAACATGGCTAAAGTGTAAAGATAAATTTAACTTGCAAAATTACCAAGTAATCAGGAAAGATAGGGAAGATCAAATAGGGGGAGGATTAGCTTTATGTATTAAAAATGACATACAATCTAAACCCATAACATTAAATGATAGATACAGCAATAGAATAGAAACAATAGGAATAAAGATCAATTATAAAAACAAATGGCTCAATGTTCTATTGATGTATAATCCTTGCAACAACCTAAAAACAGAAGAACTAGAGTATTATATAAAACAAATTGAAGACCCAAAAATAATCATAGGAGATTTCAACGCACATCATACTAGTTGGAATCCAAAATTAAATGCAAAATTGGCAAACAAAACTGGAAAAAGTATTTTTGAAATCATTAACCAAAATAATATAATTATATTAACACCACCAGGCTTAACAACAAGAATAGATCCTCAAAGTGCAAAAGAAACGACTATAGACCTGGTATTAGCAACACCATCGCTAACCCATTTAGAAATAGAAACAGGCCCTAATCTAGGAAGTGACCACCTTCCAATAATTATAAAAGATAATAAATTAATGAAAGATACTCATTTCAAAGAAAAAAAATGGATTTACACAGAAGAGGGTTGGGATAAATTTCAGAGGATTTTGACAGACAAAGATACAGAAAATGTAAAGTCTCTAAAAGAAATCATAGATCTTTTAAGAAAAACAGGAGTACAATGTTTTAAATTTGATAAGAATATCAATAAAAACAAAGCAAATAAACCATGGTGGAATGAAAGATGCAATGAAATAATAAAACTTAGAAATAGAGCTTTTAATAAATGGAGGAAGAAACCGAATAAAGAAAATCAAACAGATTATAAAATATTAGTAATAAAAACAAGACAAATAATAGAAAGAGAGAAAAGAGAATCATGGGAAAATTTTTGTAGCACATTAGATTTCAAAACTCCTCAAAAAAAAATATGGAATTTCTTTAAAAAAATAACAGGTAAAACAATCATAACAAAATTTCCATTAATAGAGAATAACCTCCCAGTATCGGAAATGCCGAAAAAACTAGAACTATTCAAAAAAGAATACGAAAATACAGTAAATAAGACCCCCAAGATAATACTGACAGATGAAGAGAGAGAGGGAATATTAAAGCTCCCAAATAATATGGATCTAAATAAGGAAATAAAAATTAATGAATTAACTTCAGCAATAAGAAATAGTAAAAGAAATAAAGCATATGGCCCAGACGAAATTCCTTACGAATTTTATAAATATGCTCCACAAAAATAACACAGAAAATATTAAAAGAAATAAACCATTACTGGAATAAAGGAGAATACCCACAGGAATTCAAAAATGTCATAATAAATCCAATTAATAAACCAGGCAAAAATCCATCAGAAACAAAATCTTACAGATTTATTAGTAGAATCACAACCCTGGGAAAAATTTTCGAAAATATAATAACAAAAAGAATTAATTGGTGGTTAGAAATAAACAACAAATTAGATGAAGACCTTACAGGTTTCAGACCCAATAAAAGTACAATAGATGCTCTACAAGTAATAGACGCTCACTTAAACAACGCAATTAAAGAGAAAAAATATGCATTACTAGCCTGTATAGATTTGGAAAAAGCTTTCGATACAGTAAACCACGATGCTTTACTAACAAAAATGTTAAATATAGGAATTACAGGAAAGTCATTAAATTGGACTTACAATTTCCTTAAAGAGAGAACATTCCAAATAAAAATAGGAGATGAAATATCTAAAAAAGGAAAAATGTCAAGTGGGGTACCTCAGGGATCTCCAATAAGTCCGATATTATTTAATATAATGATAACAGATTTAAAACTTCCAGGAACCATAAATAAAGTAATATATGCAGATGATATAACATTAATAACAACAAATAAAGATCTGACAGAGGCAACAAATACTCTAGAAAGAGCACTAAAACATCTTAAAGAATGGGCTACCACATGGGATCTAAAGATAAATTTAACAAAAAGCAAAATAATGTGTTTTACACATAGAAAAATAAGAAATATACCTAATATAAAAATAGATGACGAAGAAATGGAATTTACAAATAAACATGACATCTTAGGATTGAGATTCGATGCACCAAGATTAAATTGGAGAGAACACATTGAAAATATAAAGATAAAATCTTCAAAAAGAATAGATATTATGAAAAAACTATCCTCATACACATGGGGTGCTAATAAAGAAACACTACTAAAATTCTACAATATATACATCAAACCTAAGATAGAATACGGATTATCCATTTATGGAAATGCAAAAAACACAGAATTAAAAAAACTAGAAACTGTACAAAATTTCGCATTAAGGATAGCAACGGGTTGTTTTAGATCCACCCCAATAATATCTCTTCAGGCATTAACAAACATAATTCCAATAGAAATAAGAAAAAAAGAAATAGAATGTATACAACTAGTAAAAATACTAGAAAAACCAAATAAAACACCATTAAAACAAATAGTATTAAAGAATATCAATGAATATAATCCAAGGAAAGATAAAAGATTGTTAATTTACAGGGCATTAGAAACCTGTAAAGAATTAAGACTCAATATAACTACTAAAATAGTACAAAATATAACCCCAGTACCACCATGGTATGATATCTCACAACATGTAGAAACTCAATTCATAAATAACAAATCAAAAGACCTACCAGAACAAATAATTAAAAAACAATTTCTAATGTTAGAAAATATAAAATATAGAGAACAGCAAAAAATCTTCACAGATGGCTCAAAAGTAAAGGAACCAGAATCAGTTTCAGCAGCAATATATGTCCAAAATGCAAATATTACTACAATCTGGAAGCTAACAAAAAATATAAATATCACTGAAGCAGAGTTATTTGCAATAAAACAGGGACTGCAATATATTCAAAACAATAAAATATCAAACTCGGTAATCTTTACAGATTCACATTCAGCATTACAATTGATATTAAATCACAGACCCAAAAATCACAAACATATCACTTACGAAATACAACAAACAATACACACATTATCAAAACAGAAACAGAACATCAAAATACAATGGATCCCATCACACAAAGGCATTAGCGGCAATGAAATAGTAGATCAAGCAGCAAAAAAAGCACATGAAATAACAAATCCTATTGCCATAACAAAAGACATTAATAATATAATAAAAGAAATAAAAAACAAAAACAGACAAACATGGGAAAAAAAACTAACAGAAATATTAAACACAAAAAACTATTACATCAAAGATAACAAAACTAATCATTGGACAAGATCAAAAAACAGAAAACTAGATGTTTGTTTATCACGTATAAAAACAAAACACACAAGACTAAAACAACATCTACATAAAATAAAAATGGAGACAGACCCAACATGCAGATGGTGCCAACATGAAGAAGAAACCATAGAACACCTAACACTCCAATGCCCAAGATTCAATTCTCACCGAAAAAAACTATTTGAATCTTTAAAAAGAATAAAAATAATTAATCCAAATATGTCTCTTTTAATAACAGGCGCAGATTATTCACCAGCTAAGAAATACTATATATTAAGACACTTCAAGATCTTCCTACAAAGATCAAAAATAATAGATATAATATAAAGAACTTCAATCAACAAAGAAGAACCAAGAAATACAGCTCCAGGGAATATAGACTTCAAAAGTCTAAAACCCTATAAAAGAAGAAGAAGAAGAAGAAACACAAATCATAACTCCAGCCCAGAAAACGCCCACAAAACAAAAAAACAAAGCTAACCAAAAAGAAACAGATATACTTACTCCACCAGTAAAATCAAAATATGAAAAAACAAAAGAACAAAGACTATCAAACAGTCCTAATACTAAAAACAAAGAACAAGTAAACTCTCCTATAACATGGTCACTGCCAACACCCCTAAATAAACCCATTACACCAGAAAGAAGATTTGAACAAGAAGAAAATAATCCTTCTTGGATTGAAATAATAAAAAGAATAATCAATCTTATTTCAAACATAGCACTAAACTTAAAATCAGACAAACCCTTAATCAAAACCATTACCGAGACCATAACAGAAGCAGTACCAATAATAAGAAACATCATGGATATTTTACATGGATAGTATAATACTCTGGAATGCTAGGTCTATTCTAAATAAAAAGACTGAAATTGACTTGATAATAGAAAATGAAAATCCAAGAATATTCGCAATCTGCGAAACTTGGCTAACAAAAAACGAGAATTTCAGGTTAAACAATTTCTCAATAGAAAGAAAAGACAGAACTGATCAAAGGGGAGGTGGCCTAGCAATTTGTATACACAGTAGTATACAATACAAGAAAATAAATCTTATTGAAAGTCAGAATAATAAAATAGAAAAATAGCTATGAAAATTAGCTACAAGAATAAATGGTTAGATTTAATTTTGATTTATAATCCATGTAATAAAATAGAAGAAAGAGAATTAGATCATTATATTGAACAATTAGATAACCCAAAGTTAATAATAGGTGATTTTAATGCCCATCATTCATCATGGAACCCTAATATAAAAACAAAAATGACAAATACAACGGGAATAAATTTATTTAATTATATAACTCAAAACAATCTGATGTTATTAACACCTACGGGATTAATCACAAGAATAGATCCTAAAACAGGAAAAGGTACAACCATAGACTTAGTAATAGGTTCGCCCGAACTAAGTCACTTGGAAATAAAAACTCTCTCAAACTATGGTAGTGACCATCTCCCAATTGTAATAAAAGACTGCACTAATAAAAACGAATCACATATAACAGAAAAAAAATGGGACTTCAATAAAGAAGGTTGGAGATTTTTCAAAGAAGAAATAGAGAAAAAAGACCTCAAGGACATGAACTCAATAAAAGAAATACTAGAATTAATAAAAAACACAGGCAAAAAATATTTCATATTTGACAATAAATCAAACAAAAACAAACCAAGCAAACCTTGGTGGAATAAAAAGTGTAAAGAAATAATAAAACAAAGAAATAAAGCCTTTAACAGATGGAGGAAAAACCCAAATGACATAAATAGATATGAATTCAAAAAACTTCAAACTAAAGCGAGAACCATAATTGAAACAGAAAAAAAGAATAGTTGGGAAAACTTTTGTTCGTCTCTGGATTTTAACACTCCATCAAGAAAAAATTTGGAAATTCATTAAAAAACTAGATGGTAAAAACAGAACAAACACTTATCCACTAATTGTTAACAACCTTCCTATACAAGACACAGAACAAAAGCTAGAAGTCCTAAAAGGAGAATTCCAAAAATCAACAAACAAAAAAACAAAAGACTGCTAACAAAAACTGAAATTAAGAACCTGACAGAAAAAACAAAAACTGAAGAAATAAGCAAAAATCTAACTCTAAAAGAATTAATTTCAGTAATAAAAAATCAAAAAACAGAAAAGCTTATGGTCCTGATGAAATTCCATATGAATTCTTTAAGTATTGTCCCCAAAATATGTTAGTAAAAATCTTATCAATACTCAATATTTACTGGCTAAAAGGAGAATACCCTAAAGAACTAAAAAAATCATTAGTAAATCCAATAACAAAACCAGGTAAAGACCCTTCAGATAAGACGTCATATAGATATATAAGCAGAATATCATGCTTAGGAAAAATATTTGAAAGCCTAATAACTAATAGACTGAACTGGTGGTTGGAGATCAACAATAAATTAAATGAAGATCTAAAAGGTTTTAGACCAAACAGCTCAATGTTAGATGCCTTACAATTTATAGATTATCAAATCAACAAAGCTTATGAAGAAAAAAAATATGCTTTAATAGCTTGTTTAGATCTTGAAAAAGCTTTTGATTCAACAAACCATGATGCAATAGTAGCAAAAGCAGCAAAATTAGGTATTACAGGTGCCCCACTCAAGTGGATCATAGAATTTTTAAAAAACAGAACATACCAACTAGTTATAGGTAACAAAAAATCTACGGAAGAAAACATAGAACGAGGCCTACCACAAGGCTCTCCCTTAAGCCCATTATTGTTTAACATAATGTTATCAGATTTAACCCTTACAAACGAATTAAAAAAAGTAATATATGCAGATGATATAACAATAATATCCATAAATAATAGTCTAGAAGAGGCTAAAAACAAATTAGAACTAGGAGTAAAACAGATAATAGAATGGGC